CTGGAGCAAGCTTTTTTGAGACCAAGTGAGATATGACAGAGTATTTATTTCTAATGAAACTAGCCCAAATAGATGATGTGGACCTTATCCTCCACCACCTTTTCGTTGCTAAAATGTTACTAATGTCTTCCATCTTCCTAGTACCTATACCTCTTTCTTCAACAGGGAGAGCAAGGTGGTTCTAGGAACTCTAGTGGTACCTCTTGTGTTCCTCAGAGGAACCCTTGAAAAAAATTAGCAAAATATTTCTCAATTAACCTAAATACTCCCTTAGAGGGAGTGATAGCAGAGAGAGTGTACACAGGGATAGATTGGAGCACACTCTTAATCAGAGTAGCCTTACCGCCATGAGAAAGCAGCTTACCTTGCCAGGCATTGAGCCTTTTAACAATCTTACTAATCATGTTACCAAAAAGTCAATTTTTTTTCTTCCCACATATGAGGGACAACCTAGATAAGTAAAAGGAAAATTCTTGTCCATAAAACCAGAGCACTTTCTAATCCTGTTTATTCTAGTGGCAGCTGTATTAGGAGCAGTTAAGAAGTAACTTTTATCCCTAATAACCAGTTGTCCAGAACTTCTTTCATAGTCACCAATCATTTTCATGACCAACTTAATAGAGGTAGATCCACCACTACAGAACATAACAATATCATCAGCATATGCAAGGTGGTTAATCCTAGGAACATTATGAGGCATAGAGAAAGGGGTGAAGTTAGGATTTCTATAGAGAGAGTTGAGAGATCTTGATAAGACCTCAGCAGCAATAATGAATAGAGTTGGGGATAGAGGATCCCCTTGCTTAAGCCCTTGGGAAGAAGAGAAGAAGCCATCTCTCATATCATTTATGATGATAAAGTACCACACATTAGATATGAGATTGTGAACCGGTCCAATCCATTTATCAAAAAAGTCAAATTTTCTAAGGGCAGCATAGATGAAATCCCAAGCCATTCTATCATAAGCTTTAGCCATGTCCAATTGAATAACTACATTACCACCATTATTATTATGAGAAATATTGTGAACAATTTCCTGAGCTAACAAAACATTCTCAGAAATTAGCCTATCTTAAACAAAGCCACTTTGGTTCAAGGAGATTACTTTGTGCAACAAAGTGTTTACTCTATGAGACACAATTTTGGAGATAATCTTATTAGTAAAGTTAGATAGGCTAATAGGCCTAAAGTCAGAAAAGGTAGCAGGATTGTCAATTTTAGGAATTAAAATTAAACAAGTATGGGAGTAGAATTTGGTCAAACCTTTTCCGTTGAAGAAATCTTTCCCAAAAGCAATGACATCCCTCTCAATTATCTCCCAGAAATTATGAAAGAAGGTGTCATTGAAGCCATCTGGTCTTGCTGTGTTGTGGGGGCTAAGGCTAAAGACTGCTTCCTTGATTTCATTATCCTCTGGGATCTTGCTAAGAATGTTGTTATCATCATCTGAAATGCATAAAGGAATACAATCCAGAATAGGATTGTTGATTATGGGAGGGGTAAGGTTGAAGATTGTTTGAAAATGCCTCACTGCTTTTCTGGCTATCTTCTCATCTCCCTTGATCCAATTTCCTTTACTGTTTTTGATGCGATTGATCTGTTTCCTTCTTCTTTTCTCTCTGAGGATTGAATGAAAATATCTGGTATTCTTTTGCCCCTCTTCAAACCACTTTACCTGATATTTTTGTCTGAGCATGGACTCTTGAAGACTAAGCCATCTAATATACTGAGCATGAGCCTTGTTAACATCTTCTCAACTCTTTTCCGAATTATTTTCAATATCAATGTCCTCCAACTTCTCAAGTTTATCCTCTTGGTAACAGCTTCATTGATATCCCCAATTTCATTCCTAGACCATTGAGAAAGTCTTTTACTAAGAGACTTGAGTTTACTTTGAAGGATCACATAGGATTCCCAACCACTTTTGTTTTCCAGGATTCCTTGGCAATGTCATAAAAACCCTCTATGTTTACCCAACAATTCAGAAATCTGAAATACTTAATGTGCTGATGTTTACCCTCCAAATTCTTTATAAGGAGAGGTCTGTGATCTGATCCTGTCCTAGCCAGATGCCTAACACAATTTCTTTGAAACAATTGATCCCAAAGGTCATTAACAATGATTCTGTCTAATCTTTTCCAGATTTTTTTCTCAGGTCTTCTGTTATTGCACCAAGTTAAGTTAGAACCATTGTAACCAATATCAATGAGGCCCAATTGTTGATACAGGTCTGAAACTCTAGGATTCTATACATTCTGTGCGGCTTACCCCCTAGTTTTTCATTAGGATTCATGATTATATTGAAATCCCCGCCTACGCACCAAGGGACATCAATCACCATATTATCCTGTTCAAGAGACAGCAGAGGTCCCTCCTGTCTTTGGACTTGCATTTAGCATAAAGAGCCGTAAAACAGATGTCCTGCATACCAATAACATTATGTATTTTGATAGTAATATGTTGATCACTGATGGCAGTGGCTTTAATGAAGTTGTAGGCATTCCAAAAACACCATATTTGACAATTGTTGTTGAAGCAGCAGAGTTGAAATCCTAAGAATTTCCTGTAACCATCTAATTTTTCTTTTGAGACAAAAGTTTCAAAGATAGCCATATATTGAGTGTTATTGATGTTGATCAACTTCTTTAGCCTGTGAATGGCTTTCTTGGATCTAACTCCCCTAATATTCCAAAATAGAGCACTAATCATTGAGATCATTCGGGGTGTTGTCTTCCTTTTGATTCCTTCTCACTGAAGGTTGAGTCTTGTTCCTGTGTCTTTTGCCACTTTTTCTGGTTTCAAAACTTCCTCTTCTTGTATTTTGTTGTTGATCTTCTATTTGGGTGTGAGAATATTGATCTTCCTTTCTCAATTCCTGCTGGTTATTCGATTGCTCTACTTCTTGTAAGCTATCCGAAATATCATTCTCTTGATTAATGTTGTTGCATTCTTCCTTGTTCTCATATAAGTCCACTACCAGTTGAAGCCCAGGTTGATTCCTTATCTCTGTTGGGACAGTAGATGAACTGGACTCACCACACTGCTCTTCGGTTTCTATCCCCTCAATTTTGTCTTCTTGACTGATTTGTCTAAGGCTATTTTGCAATTGTTGATCAATTCCTCTATTAAGCTTATTTACTTTTTCAAAGATATCCTTGTTGTTATTCTCATCCGTTTGATCCTCCTGAAAGGTATTATTTTTTGTAACAGGGCTAAGGATACTTACTTTAATGGATTGCCTAGTAAAATCATTTTGTTTTGCTGCTGAATCAGACATTTCCCTTCTTTTGCTGGTAACCGGTTTGAACAAAACTTTTCTCTTCTTTTTTGGCATTTTCTTTGTCTTCTTTTGCTTGGTCTTCTTCTTTCTATCCTTTTTGTTTTTGAGTTTGGCTTCTTCATTTTGATGTTTTTGAATAGTCTCTGAAATTTGGGATTTTGAAATTCTTCATCAGTGTTCTTAGCAGACTTGCTCCCCTCTTGCTCTGTGGCTAACTGAGTGTCTTTTCCAGATTTTGAACCTCTTCTTCTTCTTTACTTTCAGCTTTCTTTTTTTCAAGAGCCCTGCAATTGATCATGTAATGACCAATTTTCCTACAATGTTTGCAATATTTTGGGACCCCTTCATATTCCAGCTTTTGAGTGTAGCCTTTGAGAGGTGAATCCTCATACTCTTGACCAACAAAAACACTTGAGGTAGTGGCTTAAGCAGATCCACTTCTACTCTGATTTTAGCCATGCTTGGCCTTGTTCTTCCCATAGTTGCAGCATCCAAAGCTAGAGGAGTTCCGACTGAGCTTAAAAGTTGTTTAATGTAATGCCAATCATGCATATGGAAGGGCAAACCAAGAAAAAGAACCCACGCAGGAGCCACAGGCAGGTCTTCTTCTGGCTTGAAATTTGGAGACCATCTTTGCAACCACATTTGCATTCCATCAATTTCAATGACTCTCCTAAACCAAACTTTTGACCAATCTTCCTCATTAAATAGGTCAATAAAAACGTTGTGATTATCAAAAACCCCAATTCTTACTGACCCTTTAAGAGTAACAATTTCTTTAAATCTTGACCTAATTCTGTCAAATTGGGGACGGGGTCTCAGAAATCGACCCACAATCGTAAATTTGCAAGATTCAGCCATTATACCATAGTAATCAGAAGCTTTGAAGATGACAACAGACATACCATTGTGAGTAGCGTGCCTGGCTCTCACCTTTTCTTTTTCTTGTTTGAGATCAACCGGCGATGAACTTGGTGGAGATGAAATTTTGTCCGCATAAGAGAGTTTTCCTGAGGGATTTCCTTGCATGTGAGAATTATCGCCTTTAGACTGTTGTTGCCCATCCAGACGCGCCGGTTGGAGGCCTCTCGGCGGCTCCTTCTGGTGAAGCATGGTCCAAACTCGTTTAATATATAGCCGTTAGAGAGATGACTTTGATAATTAGATCGCGACTTGCAGCTGAAAAACGTGATTATGAATTTGACTTGCTTTAAAAACTAGGAAAATGTCGTCTTTCTAAACGTTTTTGACCGTTCTAAACCTCATTTTATGTACTTTGAGGTGATTAGAAGATCCGAGAGTATAATTTTGAATCATTCGAAAGGTTGCTTGAGTAGTGAATTCGATGTGAGCTAGATTTTAAGTTTGATACTTACTTTTTAAAGCTTGCTTTTAAATTTTAGTTTTTCTGCCCTTTATATATTGGGACGAGCGTATGTTTAATAGAAGCAATAGTTATTAATTGGCATGTCGCGTACACTTTATTTTTCAAGTATACAAATCTTTATCGATAAAGCAAAATCTCTGGACAACAAATCAAATTAGCAGAATAGGGCATTCTTAACATCATAATCTCCATATTACAAGTCATAACGTACAAATTGGTAAATTCTCATAATGTTATGACAACTAACATTATTATATATGGAGGAGGAACAAACAACATAAATTACCAATATATAATTTATAGAAAGCTCAAGCTTAATAAAATAGGAACAATTCAAACACCTAAATAAGCTTTGAGACCCAAGCCAGCTCCAGCTCCTGACTTAATATATTCATAATATCCAACAGTGTCATAGGGCTTGAAAATTATAGGGTGTTCTTCATCCACTAGTTCTTTTTTAGCCTCTATAATGTCACTTGGTTTTGCTGATGAAAATAGCTGAATGGACACTCTATCAATGTCTCCCTCCATTGTTACTCTGTGGGTAGCTGACTCCAATGTATTATTTGTCCATGCCTATATAAATTTATACAAAGCCAAAAAAAAAATTACACAAAATGTTTTCTTTATAACCAAAAATTATCGCCAGTTCTCCAAAAAGAATAATACAACATATTTCGAGAATTTTTCTTCTTGTTCCCTAAATTTTTGAGAAAATATTTTTCATGCGAAAGTCATTTTTCCGGTTAATTAGTTACTGGAAAAATTGTTGTTCGATAAAACATTTTCTATTAGAATAAGAAAAATGACCTCCATTCCTTATAGGCGTAAGTCATTTTCCATACAATTCTTTACTTTGTTTTAATATTTTTTAGCTAATCTTACTCATAATTATTAATTTTTAATACTCAAAATTTCATCAAAATTTAATTTGCTACTAATTTCCATCACACCAAACACACTAAAACAAAATACTCCACTTACCATGAAAGAATCCGCCACTAAAGCAACGTAGGAATTTGGTGAAACATTATTAAGGTCAATCCACTCCCCATTTTTTCTATGAAGTTGCAATCCACCTTGATTTTTTTTTACAATAGTGAAGAAATCATCATCCGTGTGGTCACGCAATCTTATTTTACTAACATCTTCACGTTGAGGTTGAGCTGCTTTATAATACGTAAATTGCAGAAAGTAAACGTTGGAAAAATCCAAGAACTCGTCAATATAGTTTTTCAGCCCCAGGCTCTCCAAAATCATCCTTTTCAGTTTTCACCATTTCATCCAATTCCACCAGTGGCTTTGAGTAGGACTTCACGACATTGCTGCCAAATTAATTTAAGTGTATGTTAAAATTAAAAATACAAACTTGTAGAAAAAGAAATAGTACAATGCAATAATCAGGGGTAGCCATACTTTGGTTAGGGTGGTCAATTATCGAAAAATTACACTGCTTATATAGGTAAAATATTAGGTTTTAGAGGTACATAACATATATTGAACACCCTTTGTTGAATTTTTTTTTTACTTATTTCAAGTTTGAACACCTCTGAGAAAATTTCTGGTTTCGCCACTTATAATAATAGAATACACTAAAAAAGAATACTATATTACTCCCCTCCGTTTTAATTTCTGTGGTAAAATTTGATTTGACACAAAGTTCTAAAAAGAACGACTTGTAAAAATAATTATGGTCTTAAATTAACTTATTGTCATAAGATTTGGAAGGCTATAAAAGCATCCCAATTGAAGAGTAAAATGAAAAATTTAAACTTGATTGTTTTCAAGTATATTAGTACAATATTCTTTTTGAAATAAACTACTATAAGGAAATGGTACCACACATAAAATGGAGTAGATTGAAGGAGTGACGAAAAAGAAAGGGAAATAAAGCTCTTTTCGTTTGACATTGTTTCCTTATTGGTTCGTTCAAAAAAAAAAACATTACTGTATTTCTCTAAGTGGGTGATGAACCATGAGGTCTCAGGTGAGGCCAAAGAACAACACTACCTTATTTTTTTCTATTTGTCCAAGTCTTGTGACAGAATTACCTACTCAGAACGTGTCATATATAATCATATCTTTCGTTACACCACCAACACCAGATTTTCTCCGTTTAGCGTGGCACTTTAGGTCTGACTTCTTTTATTTACAGGAAATAAATGATTTTTTTGTTTTGTAACTTATTATGTTAGCATCAGTTATTTACTCTTTCGAATAAGTAAATAATACTTGTATATTAAATTAAAAACGACAACGATCAGTGCATAGTTGAGATCGAAATTATTTCTTTTGAAAAATAAAACAAGGCAGACTTGGAAACTGCCAAGGAAGCGTACGTATCTCGGGATTCTGCAGTAAAAAAATAGTATTCTTTTTGTCTCATATTATCAGTCGTGATTACTAAAAATAATTATTTTAAGTTATTTGTCACTTTAAAAGTTCAAGACAAAATTAATTTTTATTTTTACCCTTAAGAATAATTATCCTTGAATACTACAAACATCTCAATTATGGATAACTTTGTTCAAATACCAATGAAAAAATTAAATATTAAGACATGAATAAGGGTAAAGTAATCAAAATTCCATCCTAATTAGTTTTTCTTAAGGGATATGTACAAGAGAATCATAACAGATAATATGAGACGGAGGTAGTATGTAATATGTTTCTACGAGTATTGTTTCTTTTCTCATAATGACATGGAACAAATCCTGAATTTTGTCTTATATCAATAGATAATTAAGCTCGCGCGTGTAAATCCTTTTGTTTTGTCCAATGGTATATCTGTTGGAATCAAATTACTTTAAAAATGAAAATTATCATCTTTTATCCAAAAACTATTATGTCAACCTGAATCCATAAGTCATAAGAACGACTGGAATTCTTTGGTCTAGAGGTTAGAAGTCATCCAAATCAAAACGTAAGTCGTAATTACCTCCCTAGCGATGGGATGCCTTGAGAGAAAACCTCGCATATGTTTTTGGGGGGGCATAACCCTATTAATAGGTGCACAAATTTATGTATTTTTTATTTTTCTATTTTTGCTTTTGGCTAATTCTGCCGTACGGTGGCAGTGCCCTCTATATCAAAACAAATATACCCTCCATTCAATTTATGTGAACTTGTTTGACTGGACACGAAGTTTAAGAAAATATGAAGACATTTGGAATTTGGATCCTAAATGTATTAGAAAAGGGTACAGAATATTTGTGTGGTTATAAAACCTTCTCATTAAAGCTAGTATTGAGGGTTTAAAGATAGAACGGAGGGAGTCAAGATCAACATGAAAAGGCTGGCTCTACTGCCTCTCCCTTTTCAATGTGCAGAGTAGCGACATTCACTCTGCATCAAAAATAAAGACTGCTTCCTTTACATTTATACTATTATCTTCCATTTTATATCCATTTGAATGTGCATTTGAAGACTGATAGCAACTAATCTCTCACTCCTCCATGCAATGGTGTAGGCAGTCAACTTCTCCACATTCCCAAATATTCCAAATTTTCAGCTATAACATTAATTAATGTGACAATATTTTAATTTATTTTCAAAGCAACTCATTAAGGTCATTCTTTAAGGCATTTGTTGGAAGTTGAAGGTTAGATAAAACATTAAACAAGGTCAATCTTGGTCGTCAATGTAACCTCATTAATGGCTGGGTGTGGCAATTTGAGCTCAAATACATTGACCCGTTTAAGACTGGGCTGATTATTGACCCGCTTATTTGTTGAACTCAATCCATATTGACCTAACCCATTTCAGTCCATCTAAAGTTGGGTTTATTTTCAGCCTAAATTGATACATGAATAATTTTGCTAAAATAACTTTCAAATAGTTTTTTTTGTTCGATATGTTATATGACGATAACAAAAGAATAAAAGTCTTATTTGATGGTAGCAATTGGGCGGGTTGGGTTATGATCTCCAAATTTTAGCCAACTTGACCCAAACCATCTCAGCCCAAGTTACTTTCGGGCGGATCATCGACTCGCCCATTTATTGACTCAACCCATTTTAACCCCCCAAAATCAGTCCAACCTACCCATTTGACACCCCTATTAATGACTAGCTACGATCCAATACACACGTGGGGTACATTTTACGCTTATTTATGTTTTATTGGTATCTGGACAATCATAATATCAACCCATAATTGAGGTATTTGTCATTTTCAAGAATAGTTACTATTGAGGGTAAAATAGGAAAAAATAATTAAATTTTTCTTGAACTTCTATAATGACAAATAATTTGATATAACTATTTTTATAAACTACGATAGATAATTTGATACGGAGGGAGTAATATATGTTTGTGGCAGGGACCATTCAGATTATATTAAATCAACATCATCTACAATCTGTCTTTATTTTCAGACCCATGCACCACGTACTCCTCATGCAAATAGACTGCACTCTCCTTCATCTAATTGATTTTGTACTCTTATAGCTAGCACTTCCATGCCATCAACTGTACTACAAACCCATGCACCACCTACTCCTCATGCAAGAATATCGTCGTCTGTCCACTTCTCCACGTACTTATATCTCAAATAATCCAAAGGATTCAGCTCTAACATTTATGTGACAGTTTACTAGACTAATTCATTTATTTCAGGCATTTCTTTGAAGTTGAAGTTTAAATGAACATTACATAAATTCAATCTGAGCACTCACTGTAAATCTCATTAATGGCTATAGCTACAGATGCGATGTGCATGTATTTTTTTAAAAAAAATAAAATAAAATAAATTAAACGATTCCACATGATGTTGAATGTACTCCATCCTTTCATTTTTATTTGTCCGATAGACTGAAAATAATTTTCACTTTAACTTGTCAATTTTAGGAAATCAAAAGAAGACCATATTTTTTTCCTGCTTACCCTCCCAAGACGTATCAAAATGCTATCATTATTATAAGTATTATGCACTACTAGAAAACAGGAGAAATCCGTCAAAAAAATACCGACCGAAATCGTTAAAAAAAAAAAACCGATCAAAATCGTTCGGAAAATAAGTAAATTGGTCGCAAAAGTCAAAGAAAATAATTCTGACAACGGAAATAGTGGTCCCACAATAAAGATATAAAATTTTCGATCGATTCCGGTCGAAAATTGGTCAATCTTTGACAAAGACCCGGTCATACTTGCATATTATCTACCAAAACAAACAATATTCAGTTAAAATTTTTCAAATATACCGACCGAAATCGGTCGGTATATTTGAAATTATTCTTTCTTGCCCAGGGCAATTAGTTTTTTAATATATATATA